ACTGACTTGTTTTATTAAGATCTGAAGGATAAGAAGGCAAGAACCAGATGAGGAAAGGAGGTGAAGCACTCCAGGAGAAGGAACGAAAGTGAAGGGAGTCTGGCACAGTCTGACGAACTCACAGGAGCCCAAGGCAACCAGAGAGCCCAGAAAGCAAAGCCAAAGAAAGATGCAAGAAGTTGAGTAATGCAGGGTAAAGTGCATTCAAGAACCAGATGCAAAACACTGTGATCAAATCCTGAATGGCAGAGGCTAGTAGTTACTCATGAAATCCCTATCTCTTTCCTCCAGGCCACTCAGCCACATTTCTCTAGTCTCCCTTACACTTAGATGCAATCATGGAGTCTGGCCTATGGAAGATGGACAGAAGTGCTCTGGTCACTTCCAGGGCTGGCTTAGAAAAATCCCCCATATCACATGGTTTTCTACCTTTCTTCTTCTCTCACCTGCTGGCTGGCAGATGCAGGGATCCCAGCAGCTAACTCTAAGGCCTAAGAGGATGGTAGAATGAAAAGTGGAAGAAGCCTAGATCACTAAATCACCTCCGAGATTTAGTAGTAGTAAATAGCGAGTAATAGTAACTAGCTGTCCACTAGTTACTATTATGTGCCCTGTGACATGAGTGAGAAATACACTTCTATTGTGGTAGGCCACTGTGCTTTCCTGTTACGGCACTACCCTATCCTAACTAACCACTTTAAAGATTTTAGTCTTAAATATATAATGGGTGGCTCAGTCAGTTGAGCATTTGACTCAGGATTTTGGCTCAGGTCACAAGCTCACAGTTTCTGAGATCAAGCCCCGCATCAGCATCTGCGCTGGCTGCATGGAGCCTGCTTGGGATTCTGTGTCTCCCTCTCTCACTGCCCCCCCCCCCCCCACTCACTCTTAAGCTCTCTCTCTCAAAAATAAACATTAAACAAGTAATAAAGATTTTTGTCTCAAAAAATCAATTGACTAATTAATTGAAATGAAGGGGTGCCTGAGTGGCTCAGTCAGTTGAGTGTCCAACTTCATTTCAGGTCATGATCTCACGGTTCATGGGTTTGAGCCCCACATTGGGCTCTGTGCTGACAGATTGGAGTCTGGAGCCTGCTTTGGATTCTGTGTCTCCCTCTCTCTCTGACCTTTCCCTGCTTGCAATCTCTCTTCCTCTCTCAAACATAAATAAACGTTAAAAAATTAAAAAAAAAAAAACAAACAACTTTAATTAAAATGAAGATTTTAGAGGAGGAAGATGGCGGCCACCTTAGAATCCAGTGGAGGAGAGGGGTCTGTCCCAGTCTGGGGTCCCAAGGCTATTGCCCCCGACTGGGAAAGCCAGGAAGTCTCCACAGGGACCACTATCATGGCCATACAATTTGAAGGGGGCATGGTTCTCGAAGCCGACTCCAGAACTACCACTGGGTCCTACATCGCCAATCGAGTGACTGACAAGCTGACCCCTATCCATGACCGTATCTTCTGCTGCTGCTCAGGCTCAGCAGCAGATACCCAGGCAGTAGCTGATGCTGTCACGTATCAGCTTGGTTTCCACAGCATTGAGCTAAATGAGCCTCTGCTGCTGTACACAGCTGCCAGCCTCTTTAAGGAGATGTGTTACCTATACCGGGAAGAATTGATGGCAGGAATCATCACTGCAGGCTGGGACCCCCAAGAAGGAGGCCAGGTGTACTCGGTGCCCTGGGGGGGTATGATGGTAAGGCAGTCCTTTGCCATTGGGGGCTCTGGGAGCTCCTATATCTAGGACTATGTCGACACCACCTACCGGGAAGGCATGACCAAGGAAGAGTGTCTGCCAATGCCCTCACTTCAGCCATGGAACAGGATGGCTCCAGCAGAGGTGTGATCTGCCTGGCAGCCATCCAGGAGTTAGGGGTGGAGCGGCAGGTACTTTTGGGGGACCAGATTCCCAAATTCACCATTGCCACGTTACTGCCTCCCTGATTCCTAGAATTCTAGGATACAGTAAGAGACACCCCATAGCCACATTAAATTCAATAAACACTTGGTCAAAAAGAAAAAAATAGAAAAAAAAATGAAGATTTTTATAATCTCTATCTTTAAGAGTAATGGAAGCTACTGAAAGGGTTTTTTTTAAACATTTTATTTATGGGGGCACCTGGATGGCTCAGTTGGTTGAGCATGTGACTTTGGCTCAGGTCATATTCTCATGGTTCTTGAGTCCAAGCCCCACATCAGGCTCACTGCTGTCAGCATGGAGCCTGTTTTGGATCCTCTGTCCCCTTCTCTCTCTGCCCTCCCCCCCACCCCCCGCTCACACTGTCTCAAAACTAAACATTTTTTTTTAAAAAAAGCATTTTATTTACAGGAAATTTCAAATATATATAAAAGTTGACAAGATAGGGGCGCCTGAGTGGCTCAGTTGGTTAAGCGTCCAACTTCGGCTCAGGTCATGTCTTGCAGTTTATGAGTTCGAGCCCTCCATCGGGCTCTGTGCTGACAGCTTTGAAGCTGGAGCCTGCTTCAGATTCTGTGCCTCACTGTCTCTTTGCCCCTCCCCCCCCATTCGCTCGCTTTCTCTCTCTCTCTCTCTCTCTCTCTCTCTCTCAAAAATAAATAAACAATAAAAAAGAAAAAGTTGACAAGACAGAAATGAAGAACCTAAAGATTTATTATGCACCCCACCTTCAGTAACCATCAATAGCCAATCCTGTTTTATTTAGGCTTTCTCTACTTCCTTATTATTATGAAATCAATATATAGTACATATCATTTCAACTGTACATATCATTTCAACTGTAAATATTTCACTTCACATTTCTAAAAGATAAAGACTTCTTTTAAAATTTCATCACACTTAAAACTGTCTTTCCTTAATATCTAAATCCTGTCAATGTCAAAAATCATTGAGGTCTTAAGAGATGACAACATCAAGAATCTAGAAGACAGCAGGATAATACCTTCAAAGTACTGACAAAATAAAAACAAAAACACCCTACTGACTAGAATTGTACACCTAGCAAAGACAGCATTTGAGAGAGAGAAAAAAAACAAATATACTTTGAAAAATCAAAGATTGAGAGTTAACCACTAGTAGGCCTTTGTTGGAATAAGCAGAACATGAAAAGACAATAGGGCCCTGGGTGGTTCAGTTGGTTTAGTGTCTAACTTCAGTTTAGGTCATGATCTCACGGTTTGTGAGTTCAAGCCCCATATTAGGACCTCTGCTGTCAGCACAGAGCCTGCTTTGAATCCTCTGTCTCCCTCTTCCTCTGCTCCTCCTCGGCTGCTTGTGTGCTCTCTCAAAAATAATAAACATTAAAAAAATAATAATAAAGCAAAATAAAATAAAATTATAAATGTACATATTTTCTGACCCAACAGCACTGATAATTTACCTTATAGATATACTTGAACATATGGGAAAAGATGTATGAATAAAGATATACACTGAGTGGAAAGAACCTAATTGATATACCTAATTATACCCATAATTATACCTAATGATACCTGTGGGGGACAAGTAAAATGGAGGATTATATAAGGGAAAAAAAGAATAAGGAAACCTTCTGGAATGATATGGAAAGATTTCAAGATATACTATTAAGTGAAAAAGGTACAGACCTATATCTATTTACTATGCTACCCTTTATTGGTAGGAAAACTGGACAAGAATATATATTCAGAGTTATTTGCATGAACATAAAAATATATCTAGAAGGACACACAAAAAGCTAATAATGGTTATGGGATAGGGGCTAGAAATTAGGCAGACAAGGGTATCATAGAGTTTTCATATATACATTTTATACATTTAAATACTTGACCATGTAAATATATTAACAATTTATAAGTTAAAATACTTAATTTTGAAATCTGTAAAATAAGATAAAATTGATTTTAACAGAAAATTTGACTAACATGGCACAACTCTAAACTACGTAATTAAGAGAATATACATGGTTTTCATGCACACAAGAAACATTTACAAAGTGACCACATACCAGGCCACACACATCATTATAGTTACCAAAGAATCAATATCTCACAGACCATATATCTATCTGACTACATTGAAGTAGCCGGAACACAATAACAAAAACTAAAATACATTTAAAACATACTTTTATACAACACATGAGTCAAAGCAGAAATCACAGTGGAAAATATGAAACATTTAGAACTGAATAATAAAAAGACTGCATATCAAAATTATAAGATTCAGCCAAGAGGAAAATTTACAGCCTTAAATACCCATTTTAGAAAAGAAGTCTTAAAATCATCAAGCTAAGCACTCCACTTGAAAAATAAGAAAAAAAAAACAGAGTAAATACAAGGAAAAATGAAGAGAAAATAAGCAGAAATTATTAAAATAGAAAAAGCATACAAGAGAGAGAATCAAATGTTGACTTACATAAAATATAATTCTTCCATGTCAGTCTTGTACAGTCTAACTTCTTAAACCTTTTCAACATAATTTACCAAGGGACTTCAAACCACTGGATATTGCTTGTTCAAGTCCTACTCCTGATCCAGTTCCTATCTGAACAGTGTCAACTCTGAAGGACTGACATTCTCAGGCTCACTTAAGCAGCACTGGGAGTCTGTCAAGTACTGAGAAGTATGGTGGCCCATGCTAACTGCCTCAGAAGGTATGACCACATTATAAATAAGCTCTAAACAAAAAAAAACACAGTAGGATTATTCTGTCAAGTATGTTTTTTAGGAAATAGAAATAAGGATTAAAAACATTTTTTGTAACTCTGAAGTCATTATACCAGGACTTGAAAGATTTTCCTAAACAAGTTAAACATTTAACAACTAATTCAGAAGATGCTAAATTGAGACAACTAATAAGGTTCTAATTAATATTTTCTCAAATATTCATCTGGCAGGTGCCCTATGACCTGAGCAAAAAAAGAAAAGTAATAAACGCAAATGGTAAATATTTCAGTTATTCTGTATTTAAATGTTTTCAACTGCTAAAGAGAGATAAATTAACTTTACCATCATAACAGAATTAAAATACAACTAACCTGTATGATCTTTGTCTCCTGTACATTCACAGTCAAGCAGGTCATGGGTAACACAATGTGAACTTTCATGTAATGTAAACAAATTTTTAAGCTCCTCTACTGAGAACTGGATATGTTCAGAGGTCTTGGTTAGGTCTACAACTGCCCCTGAAAGATCTTGTTTACTGATTTGTCTCTGATAAATCTTTTCTTCTATTGTACCTAAAGAGAAAACATTGATTAGATTTCCTTCAGATCTTTAAGTCTGTTATTTTTGTAGGGTAAAACATGTTTATTAGCATACTGTTTAACAAAATAACAATATTTCTGATATCAAAGTACAGACTGAGCAAAAAAAAATTGTTTTAACTCTTCAAAAGACTACATTTTTTGTCATACTGAAGGGTTATTACCTGTGGTTAGGAGTCTGTAAATATGTACAGGATGTTTCTGACCATCTCTCCATACTCTAGACATTGCCTATAGAAAACAGATGAAAATTCTGAGAGTACAGTGGAAACCAGTAGCCCTGTCCACATAAGCATATTGCTTATACTAACAAGATAAGCATATGCTTATCTTAACATATGTAAGATTAGGAATTCTAGATTTCACTTATAGCTTCAGAAAACAGAGCCCAGGCATACCCAAGCATTCTCCACTTCATACTCTTTTCCTGGAAAGAAAGGTAGGGATGAACACTATCGTACTGTAAAAAAACTGCAGAGTTGTCACACAACAGTGAGGGGATCTATCTGCATCAAAGAACAGGACAGCAAATTTGGACAGCAAGAACTCAAAGAACCAAGTATAGCATGGGCATGGAGGGTTTATTCTCATTCCAAGTAGCTTATGAATCCCTAAGATACCTGCAATCAGTTCAGGCTCTGGGTAGATTCCTGTGGTTTCACAACGTATCAATGATAGTGTAAACAGTTGGTGTTCAAATCCCACACATTCCAAAGAAATGTCTCACTTTCAACCAGCTCCTGGGAGATAAACTCTAAGCCCTTGTCAATTCCTGCCTGATTAGAGCATCTTAGTTTACCTAAGGCCTTGGGCCACAGAAGATAGTTTTTACCAACAATTTGACTCAGGTGTGGGCTATAGACCAGTTTGACCTGTGGTGGGGTTGGAGACTGAGCAACTTAGGCCAGCCACACTGGTACTCCATGCCTACATGACTGACCTCCAACAAAATCTCTGGACACCAAGACTTGAGCGAACTGCTCTGGATGGCAATACTCCAATATGTGTTGTCACTCGTCAGTGCTGGGAGAATTAAGTGTTGTACATACAACGTCAGTGGGAGGGGACAACTGGAGGCTTGTGCCTCATCTCTCCTGAACTCCCCATGTGCCTTTTACCTTTACTGATTTTAGTCTGTTTCCGTTCACTGTAATAAACCGTAACTATGAGTATAGCTGTTTTTCTGGGTTCTGTGAGTCCTTCTAGTAACCACTGAACCTGAGGGCTGTCTTCGAGTCCCCCAACATGGACACTAAGTGAGTGCAAACTGTAGGTAGAAATCTGAAAATATTTGAAGATAGACTGTATTCCGAAGAAAACAAAAGCTGCTTCTGAAATATTTTCCTAAATCAGTTAACTTAATATCTTTACTACACCCTGCACAAACACTGATCACAGCATCTATAACACTTTATTTTCTTTCCCTGATGGTCATGAGCATCCTGAAGACCCAACTGTGCAGTAGAGTAGAGAACAGAGAAATATAGGTTTGGGTCTGAATCCTGGCTCTGCCTCTTCTAAGCTATGTGGCCCAGAATAAGTTTCCATATCTTTATCTGTAAAACAGGCTAATAATATCCACATTTGCAGGATTATTGTGAACATTAAACAGATGTAAAGCACCTAGCAGAGTGCCTGATCGAAAGTAAGGGCTCAATATGCAGCAATTCTACATCCTCTTCATCTTCATATCCCTGGCAGGCTTTAGATCCCCAGTATGCATTCTATAATGTTTATTTTTTTTAATGTTTATTTGTTTGTTTAGAGAGAAAGAAAGAGTATGTGCATGCACACAAGAGGGGCGGAGAGAGAGAGAATCCCAAGATCCCAAGCAGGCTCCTTGCTGTCAGCGCAGAGCCCAACGCGGGGCTGGAACTCACAAACCATGAGATCATGACCTGAGCCAAAATCAAGAGTCAGATGCTTAACCAACTGAGCCACCAAGCCACCCCATAATGTTTATTTAATTCATAAATAGTCATACCTGGATATCAGTGGCTGGATTCCAATCAATATCATACAGAATTAAGTGAGATCCTCCAATAAGGTTAAGTCCCACACCACCAGCTTTTGAACTTAACAAAAAAATAAAATCAGAAGAGTATTTACTATTAAAGCCATCAACAATTTGCTGTCTTTGAGAGACTGGTGTTTGTCCATCAAGTCTTGTAAAAGCATATCCATGACGCCTGCATACTTCTTGTAGAATATTCAAGGTTTGTGTGTAGTTGGACACCAACACCACCCTGCCAATCAAAAAGAAAGAGTCTTTATATATAATTTTAAAGCAGTATTAGGTTTTTTTAATTGAAAGGAAATACTACAGTGATACTATCAGTGATATTTATAGAACATGCAGCAATGACCTTGTACAATTAAATCACAGGTTCTCCTTAAAATTCAATTTTTAGTTTTTTTTTATGTTTATTTATTTTTGAGAGAGAGAGAGAAACAGAGACAGAGAAAGAGTGAAAGCAGGGGAGGGGCAGAGAGAAAGGGACACACAGAATCCAAAGCAGGCTCCAGGTGCCAAGCTGTCAGCACAGAGCCCAACACAAGGCTCAAACTCATGAATTGTGAGATCATGACCTGAGGCAAAGTCAGACACTTAACCAACTGAGTCACCCAGGCATCCCTTAAATTCAATTTTTAAATCAATATCTAAGAGATGTCCAGTATTAAGATACTGCTTTCTGCTTTCTTCACCTCTCTGAAGCCACCCTAAAAACATTAGAACAAGAAACAGAAATAACTCTACCTTTGATAAAGCAAGGAGATAGTTATATGTGAAAACAGAGAATAATGGAATGGTGACCCGCTGAGGAGTACAGACAATGTAAAACCTAAGTGCCCAAGGAGGTAGATTCTAATAAGAAACAAGCACAAATTTATTCACATCAGGGAATCTTAACATACCTCAGAAGGAAGGTGTTTAGACTACAGCTATTGTAAGAGCACTGGTAAACAGAATCCAAACTCTATTCCCATGACTATTCTTTCTCAGCTAGAATGTTTATATTTTGGAGAAAGTAATGTAAAGAAAACTGAGACCAAGGGACTCTAGAAGGCAAGGTTATAGTGAGAAATCAAAATGAAAGTCTGTATACTGGATGTACGATCCCAGTTCCCTTTTACCGCCAACTCCCAGAACACCAGTAGCCAGGCCTTCTTCTCACATCCCACCTCAAAAAGATAGTATTGGAAGATTCACCTCTGGAATGATTTAAATGACCCTGAAGAAAAGGTCCACAGATAAGGAGTCCCCAAATAAAAAAGCCAGCTCACTGTCTAATTACCCAATGAGGGCCACCAGTCTACCAGCCCTACCCGGGCACATGGAGTGTTCAATTAACGTTTTACTACATCAATCATAAATATGAATGGATCACCAACTATTTGAGGTAAGGTTCCAACATGAAAAATAGAAACTAAAACGAATAAACAACAACAAAAAGAAACCTGTATGAAACAGAGCAATGGAGGAAACAGGAAACAATTTTAAGAACATAATTAATATCCTCAAATAAGAAACACCAGGGGCACCTGGATGGCTCAGTCAGTTATGAGTCCGACTTCAGCTCAGGTCATGATCTCACGGTTTGTGGTTTCAAGCCTCACGTCGGGCTCTGTGCTGACAGCTCAGAGCCTGGAGCCTGCTTCAGATTCTCTGTCTCTGTCTCTCTCTTCCCCTCCCCTGCTCACACTCTGTCTCTCTCAAAATTAAATAAATATTTAAAAATATTTTTAATAATAATATAAATAAATAAATCCAGGGAGAAATTCTGGAGATGAAAATGTGGATATAACAAGATAGCAGTGACAGCACATGATCTGGCAATACACTAGGGGAGCTGGGGATTGCACTGAGAAACAGGATGCAAAGGCAGAGAGGAAATGGGGGCTGTTGCTTTACAATGAGCTTTTTAACACCTTGAAAAATAAAAATTTTAAAACAATAAAATAATATAAAAAGTAAAAACAGTATTTTTTACAATAGCTAAAGAAAAAAATAAAAATAAGGTAAAGAATCTTTCCTATATATTTATATTATTAGCACTGGAAATCTAAAAACAATAAAGCAAATTTTAACAGTTATAATTTTAAATATCTATGCTAAGAAGGGAAAGATAATCCAACAATATATTTGTATTTCTTGTACCAGTTACTTTTTGTTACATAACAAACCATCCCAAAATTCAGTGGCTTAAAACAACAACCATTTATTTTCTACTTAGCTTACAAACTGTAGTATTAAAAAGAAAACCACAGACCCAAAATGGCATCACTTAGGTCAAGACCCCAAGTCAGTAAACAAGACTTGATAACTAACCTAATTGCAATTTCAGTCCCCAAGGAATGTAACCTTTAACCAGTCAACATGGAATTTCCTGATCAATACCAGGAAATTTACTGATAGACCCTTTCAGCTCCCCTTAGGAGGGCAACCCTGCTTAAACAATGCATTCCTTGCTAATAAATTCCTTTCTCCCCACCCCCCAACATTCGGCCTTGAAAATATTTTTGTTAGTTTAGTTCAGGAGAGCTCCTCTGTAGTTACTTGCTAGATGGGATGCTGCCTGATTCAGGAATTGTTTAATAAAGCCAATTAGATCTTCAAATTTACTTGGTTGAATTGTGTTTTTTAACAGTAGATTGGCAATTTAGGCTGGGCTCAGCTAGAAGATTCCTCTGCTGGTCGTGGCTGGGCAAACTCAAGCATCTGCAGTCAGCTGCCAGGTCAACTGGAGACTAGCTGACCTACTCATCAGGCTACCCAAGGTTTAGTCACACAGTGACAGTAGGGTTCCAGGAACCCAAGGGAGGAAAAGCCCCAATGCACAAGATCTTTGCAAGTCTCTTTTTTGTGCCATATTTGCCAACACTGCATGGTCCAATGCAAGTCATGTGGCTCAGCTCAGAGTCAGAGTGGGAAATCACTCACAATTACCTAGCAAAGGAACATGGATACATGGAGAAGAACTTAGACCATTTTTGCAATCTACCATAATCCCTATACTACTCTTTCAATCATTTTTCCTTCTTCTTATCTATTATTGTTAGAGTAGGCAGTTAGTCAGGCTTTAACAGGATGCCTGGAAGCCAGCAAAGGGGGAGTCAAGGCCAGTTACCAGGAAAGTTAGCAACCTGTCCACAAGTATTCCACAAACAAAGCCACAAAAAGCCAGATCAAACCAGACAGGCCCAAAACAAAGAAGGTCAGAGACCCTGACCAAGTAAGGGGGAAAAGACGCAAAATCCTCCTCCCAAAGAAATCCTCTCCCCAAAAAATAAATAGCCCACCCCTCAGTTAACAACAGTCAATAGAAGAGAGAGACCCAAACTTCTCCCTTGAGTTCACCCGCTCTCCAGAGTGTACTCTCACTTGAGTAAACTCTTCACTAGCACAACTTAACCACTCTGCCTGTCCTTGAATTCTTTTCTTGTGACAAGACTGAGAGACTGCAGTGATGTTTTGGGACAGGCTGGATGGAGGGCCTGGAGGTCTCCCCCAGTTCACCTAGCAACCTTATAGGGATGAATAATATTATCTAAACATAGTTTTGTCTGATCTAACTTCACTAGAAGGAAAAAAAAACTCTGGCTTAATATTTTCCCCCAACAAATCCTTACAAGGCTAGCTGCAGATTGATGGGATAGGTGACTGTCTTAGGACTCTCAGACAAGCCTCTTTTAGAGGTCTCGAGCAGCTCCCCCCCCCCCCCCACACACACACACAAGTACATACCACTTGGAAACAGGCTATTATTTTTATGTTCACTAGACTGTCCCCTAAAGCAACTGAAATGTGTAGGCAAGGCGTCAGGTCTATAGTACAATGCAAGCTGTACCCAGCAGGAGAGTCTCCAACAAAGAGAAGCACAGGGGCTGGAATGCAGCATAAAGTCTGCTCACCAAGCCATGAAGCCTAGTGCATGAATGCAACAACCAGGAGGGAAAATAAATGTTTTTAAATTTTGAAGTTTCTTTTTTTTAAATTCCACAAAAGGGTCACCCGGTGGACAAGAGTTCTCAGATATGCCTCCACCCCGTTCTAACACATCTTAACCTACTCAAAAACACCATATGTGCTAGAAGATGTCTTCCCAGAAGACCTAAAATATAACTATCTGGTTCAAGTCAATGGTAACACAGTAGTCACAGTGAAGACAGTAATACTACTCCTGGAACCAAACACTGCATAGGCAGCCCAGCCTTGGAAAGCCTGGCCTCTACACTCAGTTTTTTATTTAAAAAAAAAAAAAAGGGCCATCACTCAACACCTAAAAAACAACCCAATTAGAAAATGGCAAAGGACTTGAATAAACATTTCTCCAGTGAAAACATAGAAACAGCCAGCGAGTATATGAAAAGGTGCCCAACATCACTAATCATTAGGGAAATGCAAATCAAAACCACAATGAGATATCATTACACATCCAATAGCATGGCTATTATCAAAAAACAGAAAATAACATTGTTGGTGAGAATGTTGGAGAAATTAGAAATCTAGGGGCACCTGGGTGGCTTGGTCGGTTGAGCGTCCGACTTCGGCTCAGGTCATGATCTCGCGGTCCGTGAGTTCGAGCCCCACGTCAGGCTTTGTGCTGACAGCTCGGAGCCTGGAGGCTGTTTCGGATTCTGTGTCTCCCTCTCTCTGCCCCTCCCCCATTCATGCTCTGTCTCTCTCTGTCTCAAAAATAAATAAACGTTAAAAAAATTAAAAAAAAAAAAAGAAATCTTGTGCACTGTTGGTGGGAATGTAAAATGGTGTAGATGTTATGAAAAGCAGTGTGGGGCACCTGGGTGGCTCAGTCGGTTAAGCCTCCAACTCTTGATCTCAGCTCAGGTCATGATCTCACAGTTCGTGAGTTCGAGCCCCGCACTGGGCTCCATGCTAACAGTGCAGAGCCTGCTTGGGATTCTCTGTCTCCCTCTTTCTCTGCCTCTCCCCTGCTTACACTCTCTCTCTTTCTCTCTCTCTCTCACAATAAATAAACTTTAAAAAAGAAAAGAAAAACAGTATGGTGATTCCTCAAAAAATTTTTAAAAGAATTCCCAAATGAGCCAACAATTTCACTTCTGGGTATATATCCAAAAGAACTGAAGGCAGGGTATTGAAGGAATATTTGTACACCCATGTTCATAGCAGCATTATTCACAATAGCCAAAAGGTGGAAGCTACCTAAGTGATCGTCAACAGATAAATGGATAAACAAATGTGGAAAATACATACAATGGAATATTATTCAGCCTTAAAAAGAAATTCTAACACATGCTACAACACGGATGAAGCTTGAGAACATTAAGCTAAGTAAAATAAGCAAGTCACAAAAAGACAATATACTATATGATTTCACTTTTATGAGGTACCTAGAGTAGTCAAATTCACAGAGACAGAAAGTAGAAGGGTAGTTCCCAGGAGCCAAGGGGGAGGCAAGCCTGGGGAGTTGTTATATACTGGGTACAGTCTCAGTTTTGCAAGATGAAAAGAGTTCTGGAGATTGGCTGCACAATAATGTGAATGAACCTACCACTACTGAACAATACACTTAGAAACAGTTAAGATGAGGGGCGCCTGGGTGGCTTAGTGGGTTAAACATCTGACTCTTGATTTTGGCTCAGGTCATGGGATCAAACCCCATGTTGGGCTCTGCGCTGACAGCATGGTGCCTGCTTGGGATTCTCTCTCTCTCTCTCTCTCTCTCTCTCTCTCTTTTATCTCTCTCTGTCCCTCCCCTGCTTGTGCTCTCTCTCTCTCTCACTCTCAAAACAAATAAACAAACATAAAAAATATTTTAAAAATAGTTAAGATGGCAAATTTATGTTATGTGTATTTTACCACAATTTTTTTATTAAAAAAAATTTTTTTAATGTTTTGAGAGAGAGAGCATGAGTGGGGGAGGGGCAGAGAGAGAGGGAGACACAGAATCTGAAGCAGGCTCCAGGCTCTGAGCTGTTATAACAGCTCAGAGCCCAACGTGGGGCTCAAACTCATGGACCAGAAGATCATGACCTGAGCTGAAGTCAGATACTTAACCGACTAAGCCACCCAGGCGAGCCTTACCACAATTTATTTAAATGTTTATTTATTTATTTCGAGAGTGAGAACATGAGTGTGAGCAGGGGAGGGGCAGAGGAGAGGGAAAGAGAGAATCCCAAGCAGGCTCTCTCAGAAACCATGAGATCATGACCTGAGCTGAGATCAAGAGTAGGACGCTTAACAAACTGAGCCACCCAGGCACCCCTTACCACAATTTTAAAAAGGCCGAGGTAGGGGCTGAGGGGAGTAGAATCTTTTCAGATAATGGAAAGCAACAGAACACCCAGCCTCTGCCACTGGCAGAAGTGCTGCTGCTTCTCTCAGAGAATAGGTAGGGTATAGTTTTCTTAGAGACCCTCAGGCAGTCAAAATGACCCTATCCCAACTCTACCTCCAGCTCTACCTTCCTCATCATTCCTTTCTTCCCACCACAAGACATACAAAATCCCCTACAGCATTTCAAGGATAAATTTCTATACATAGTTTCTATCTTTTCTCATTTCCTCTAAAACTATTCATTCACTATTCCTTGTCCAATAACAACTACCAATCCTTTCCTCCTCAGAGAAGAGAAAAAAAATGGATCCAGTAACACAACAACAAAAAAAGCAAATAGTTAAGTCTGAGTTAAAGTTTATACTCATAAGAACTAGATCACAATCTGCACATCTATATTATACATGTTCTTTTGTACATATGAAATATTATAAAACATTTTAATCAAACTGTATTAAATACTTTATAGAAAGTTTCCTTATTTTAATTCCTTCATTGTTATGAAAAATAAACCTAAAAATATGCACAAGTCAAATGATATTATAAATGCTCCAAAGAGGTTATGCCAGATCCCTTGACAATTAAAAGTAATTACTATTTTGCAATCTTTTCTATGTATTTTTGCCTTAATTCACAAACACAGTTTGATACAAAGATAATTAAGACACAGTCCCTGTATTACAAATACTGATATATAAGAGAACTAAAATGAGAACTAATACGATGTGAGAAGAGCTCCAGGAGAGGTAGGTACAGGACACAAAGGGAGTACAGAAGAGGGACATCTAACTCAATCTGAGGCTGGGGGCTTCCAAGAGGAGAAAGCAATGGAGCTGAGTCTTAATGAAGAGAAAAAGCTGGTCAGATGAATGAGAAGTGAAGGCAGCGGAGGCACGAGAGCTTGTAACATGTAAAAGCAGAGGGTGAGAAGCAGAGCAAATGGCAGGTCTGGTAGATGTTTGGTATGACTGAACCACATGTTAAGTGTGAAGAAGTGGTGGCAAATGAGGCTGGAAAAGGAGGCATTAGCCAGTCATGAAGAGCCTTACCCAATGTGCTACATAGAGTTTAGAAATTCCTGGAAGACAATTAGGAGTCTTTGAAGGACTTTTACGGAAGACAGTGATATGTTCGCATTTGTAGTTTAGAAATATAATTTAGGGCAATGTTGATATGTGATGAGGTTGAAAGAGGGAAGTAGTTTATAAGAGACCATCATTGGGGCACCTGGGTGGCTCAGTCGGTTAGGTGGTCGACTTCGGCTCAGGTCATGATCTTGCGGTCCGTGAGTTCTAGCCCTGCGTCGGGCTCTGTGCTGACAACTCAGAGCCTGGAGCCTGCTTCATATTCTGTGTCTCCCTCTCTCTGACCCTCCCCTGTTCATGCTCTGTCTCTCCCTGTCTCAAAAATAAATAAATGTTAAAAAAAAAAAATTAAAAAAAAAAAAAGAGAGAGAGACCATCATAACCCAAATCATTAATTACAAAAGTCAAAACAAAAATCTTGGTACCAGAAAGGAGGTATATTCCAAGATTAAGAGATAACAATCTAGAATTTAGTTACTGACAATGTTGGGTGAGTTTAGAAGAAAAGTGAGTCTAGAATGACTAGATTTTCTGCATGAATCATGGTGCCATTCATCAAGCCAAGGAATGATGAAAAAGGATCAAGTTAAAGGATAAAGCTGTTGGGGATATCTGTACCTTAAAGCCTTACATGACATCAAGAGAGATTTAGATGCCCATTAAACAGTAAGAAATAAGGATGTGGGAATGAGAAGGCAGAGATGGACCAAAGATAGAAACTTGGAATCAAGACTGTATGAGTGAGAGTTGCCAACAATGGAGAGTAGAGGAAACCAAGAAAGGCTGTTTAGAGTAAGAAGAAGGCTACGGAGAAACCCCAAGAAGTATTGACATTTGGGGTGTCTGAGTGGCTCAGTTGGTTGTGTGTCCAACTCGTGATTTTAGCTCAGGTCATTGTCTCAATTTTGTGATTTCGAGCCGCACAAGGGCTCTGAGCTGACAGGGTGGAGCTTGCTTGAGATTCTCCCTCTTTCTCTGCCTCTCCCCCACTCGTACTCCCTCTGTCTCCATCAAAATAAATAAATAAACTTAAAAATTAAAGTATCAACATTTGAGCGACAGAGAAGAAAGGATTCTGAAAGAGATAGAGGAATAAATTAGTAGGTGTTAGATATCAAAAGATGTCTCCAGGTTTTTGTAAACATATGTATCTACCTTTAGATACAGTTTTTCTTAAATAAAGACCATGATCCCAAAGAAGGAGGGAGAAGAGGAAGTAAGGCTATAGTCTAAACCAAAATTCCACGAGCACTTACAAGCAAGTTTATTAAATTGATCTCTTACTTTTCAGTGGGACGAAGTTCACGGATAACGGCTAAGAGCTTCAACAGCACTTGGAGTTTTCCTGACTCTTCCTCGGTAAACATGAGAGGGTTGTAATCAGCAGGGAACACATTTACCAAGCCTTCATATAGACTCCTTTCTTCATTTTCATCCCACGTTGAGCTACATTCTTTTCCCTATTCAAAAGGATGATTGTTAACTGGCTCATGTTTATTTTGTTAACTGGGAGGGAAAGAAATGCTAAAATTATGGGGGGGGAAAGTGAAGATTAATAGCCACCTGAAAAGACCAAGTTAACTATTACATAAATCTTCACAGGTTACGATGTGATCATTTTTGAAAAAGGTAACATACATCCTACTGAGTTCATTACAGAGCCATTCGATGCAGTCTCCTAGTGCAAGCAATCTTCACCCTACAAGGGCAGCATCACTGCCCACATGTTCCTTGGGAAGGGGAGGAGGGACAGCAGAGAAATAAGAGAGGAAACTACAGTTACAGTGATACAACTGTTCTCTCCAAAACCCTAAGATCTCTCATCACTGATACATCCTTTCTTCTCTTCTTTCCTTCCCTATGCTATTACTTCTCTTTCCTGATTTGTGGGCTTCACACAGCACCTCTCAGGTTATACTCAGAATCAAGCATAAGAGTTTACTCACTCTTATGAGCAATTTCTCGTAGCTATTTCTTCCACAAGAAGGAATAATTCTGCCATAAGTTAACAGAAATTTATTCTTACTTATATTTTTGTTTACATTACCAATGGTTTTTAGAATACTTTTATTCCAAAGTGATTATCAGCACCTTTGAAATTCTTTTTCCAAAAGTGCCTAGATGACATGTGAATACTTAACTAAAAATATACTTATTAATAACTACAGCACTTTTTAGGTTAAATTTCTGAGACTGGCTGGTCTCCTCACTTTGTTCCACATTTACCAGATTTATCACTGTTTTTAAAACTTTGTTCAGTCTACTCCACCTGCCTGGAATGCTTCCTCATTTTTCTGTCCAATTATCCCAATCCTATAGATACTTAAGGACCCAATGTAAATTCCATTTGGTTATTTATAGCTCTTTTTTGGGTGGCAAAGGGGGCACTGAGTCTTAACCTTTATGGTTACAAAATACAGTTCAGCTTTGACCTTAGTTAATTGAGAAGTCAACTATATACTTTATTATATTTCCCTATGTTTTCATGGGTGTTGTGTTCCCTCTTTAATAATTCCAGAAACACTTAAAGGCAGTGAATCCTGTAGTGTAAGATGCTAGGCACAAAGTACATTTGGCTTATTTCCAAAATATAATAATAGTTGGGTAAAGTTGCTTGATTAAAAATACCTGGAAACCTAAGATACTAATATCACTGGAATATACAAGGGGAAAGAGATGGTTGCTGGCTGCTTCAGCTTAGGTCTGCTAAGATGCCTATACCTTGGAGAGGTCATCAAAAGACCACAGACCCAGGATCTAGTCCACAGCTTTTCACGTTCAGAAACTGAGTAAGTTTAAGCTCTAGGCAAATGAGCCATACTAATCAAATTAAGAAACAAAGTCAGAATATAAATTTATTGACCTTCAAAGGAGACTTGCCTATTTAAACCAAGTGGCCTACACATTCTGTCACATGAAACCACAAGGGAAGCCAAATCATTAGCATAAAGTTGTCTGGTGAATATTAAATAAAAATACGAGGGAAATGGTGATCTTATGGCACAAGTTCTTAGCCAGGAACATGTAATCAGAATCACTTGGGGAGTCACTTTTTCCAAATCCTCATACTTGGGTTCTACTCTCAGAGTTTCTGAATCAGTCCATAGGTGTTGAGGTCTGGACAAATGGAGTTTTAAAAGCTTTCCAGATTATAATGCATAATACCCCTAATTAAGAATCAACTAATAGATATCTTCATTCTGTGACAGCCTGATAAATCACCTCCTTCACAGGGGAGTTTACCAGTTAGACTTCTCATATCAGCCAATCATGGCATTCACTCTTCTGACTCTCTGTAGCCTTTGGTTATCAGTTACACTTCTTTCGGTTATATTCCATTCACATTTCCTGAAAAGAAACCCATCACCTTGACTGAACTTGGGAAAAAAACCTAGTTTCAACAGGAATACCTTTATTAAAAAAACTCTGCTTAAAGGTTGTTTATACATGTGGAAGGCTCATTTCAGCCACTTTCTATTGATCCTCATTTGCTATGATGTTAGAGGAAAGGCTTTACCAAACAAGACTCAGATTGTAAATTATGCACCCTCTTTGAAGCTTGTGGTATCCTGTGCCTATTACTAGTTAACTGGTGCATTCTGGGCTATGATAAAGTCTACCTTTTAAGGAAGAATTTTTGGCTTCTATTTTTGCTGGGCATCATGCCCAAAGGGTTTAATTTTTATCACTGTATATAAAATCTGTTTCTTAAAAAGTTGATTAATAAATTGTTATAATCCTGCTTACTGCAGAGTTACAGAAAGCTGACTTCTCCTATAATAAACTATGTAAATATAACTCATTGAAGGATAAACTTGAAGAATTCTGGTAGAACACTCCATTTTCCAAGTATATAACTAATGACCTCAAGCATGATGCAGCATCCATGGGTTTTCTTTCATTTTGTTTGTAAATTATGATTTTACTGTTTAAAGAAAAAAATAAAAGAATAAAAACTGTTCTAAAACAGTGTTAAGAATGAGCTGGGGGGGCGCCTAGGTGGCGCAGTCAGTTAAGCGTCCGACTTCAGCCAGGTCACGATCTCGCGGTCCGTGAGTTCGAGCCCCGCATCAGGCTCTGGGCTGATGGCTCGGAGCCTGGAGCCTGCTTCCGATTCTGTGTCTCCCTCTCTCTCTGCCCCTCCCCCGTTCATGCTCTGTCTCTCTCTGTCCCAAAAAATAAAATAAAAAACGTTGAAAAAAAAATTAAAAAAAAAAAAAAAAAGAATGAGCTGGGGATAATAGAGTTTTCATAGTTATTGTGTAATTTCTATGGTCAGACATTCTGCTAGGTTGTTTCCATGCTATTTCATCAAGTTGCCACAGGAACTTGATGAAATAGTATGTTCATAGGAAGTTATTATTGTCTCTTCTTTGGAAATAAGAAAAATAAAGGCCCGCAGATGGAATTTGACCATGGTTAAATTTGCCCTTAAAGGGGCACCTGGGTGGCTCAGTCAGTTAAGCATCTGACTTCGGCTCAGGTCATGATCTCACAGTTCATGGCTTCGAGGCCCACATCCAGCTTTGCACTGACAGCACAAAGCCTGCTTCAGATTCTCTGTCTCCCTCTCTTCCCCTCCCCAGCTCATGAAAAATAAAAAAAAAAAAAATTTTTAATTTTTAATAAAAATTTGCCCTTAAAGAACTGGTAAGCGGTAGAATAGGAACTGATACCCAGTTCTAACTCCAAAACAGAAAACTCTCACTATACTCTAAACTGCCTTATGTTTATTAAATATCCAAATGGTTAGTTCAGCTATATAATCATTAAAAATCATACTTGGAGAAGGTATCTAATTGGGAAAATGCTCTCAATTTATTTAGTGGAAAAAAAGTAGATTTTAAAATAATAAGCATAACATCATTAAAATTAAGTTTCTCTAGAACTAGATTATATATACGTATCTTTGAGTCTCTGTTTCCTCACAAAAAAAAAAAAAGTGGGGACGGTAATAACAATACTTATTCCACAATTTTGTAAACAATAAACAAAATAATGCTAGAACAACATTTAGTGTTGGGTACATTTATATGCTTAATAAGTTTTGGCTAAGATTATTAATATCGAAATATGGAGTTTTTTTTCTGGCTAGAGAGCTTTATTTCTTTATAATAAATTCCTAAAAGTGTTGCTAGGCCACAAAATACATACAGTTTTAAAGCTTTGGTACACATTGCCAACTATCTTTCAGTTACACCAATTCACAGTCTAATCATATGACTTTAATTTTCTTCTGGTTTTCTGAGTTTTATAAATTTCATACAATATGTATCATATATTACTTTTATAATGGGAAAAAATTAAATTATTTTCAATGATAAATTTTCTATTTGTTTGCACCAAACAAAACTGATTGGCTACATATATATAAAATAGGAAGGAGGACCACAGCAAAGTATTAGTTAGACAAGATACCAAAGGGCATGGGGCAAACTCTAGAAGGCAGTGCCTCACATCCATTTCACCCCCTTGTTCAGTCCTATATGTACAGACATGTTCTCAACAAATAGAAGCTAGATAAGCTGTACAGATGAAACATATAGGAGAGGCTACAGAGCTTCTCGAAAACCCACAAATGCAACCCCTGGGGTTGGCCCAATTTGCCCTCTTAGACTCACATGACACAGAACCCTTAGCTCACATCTCTGACACAGTCTCAGATACTACTTACCTTTATAGAGTTGAACAAAAGGCAGGGGTGATTGCACAGCTTTTTAAGAGCTCCTATACATATTAGATGAGGACTATTTCCTAACAACCCTTGAAGGCAGAATCTGACAGCCTGAGAATTCAACAGCTTTCGATAAAGCTCAATCTGTAGTGCTCCTGGTCGGCAAAAGACTACATTCTCTATTTTAGGTGGAAGATACTTATTTATGACTTCTTGGGTTCTTCTAAGGATAAAGAGTCCAGTGAGGCAAGTAAGTTCAGCTGCTCTTTTCTCTCCTAACTCCTTTTCTTCCTATGGAAAAATCGCAGACTTAAAAGTATTGTAAACAAAGAATTATTGCAATTAACAGGAACATTAAACATTTTATATCAATAAACCATTTACTAATTACATCCCTTCAGATTTTTTTTCTAACAGAATAAATTCAGTTTGAGTTTGGGATAGAAAAACCAATCATATTCTCTTTGTTCATTTTTTTTTTAATTTTAAATGTTTATTTATTTATTTTTGAAAGAGAGAGACAGAGCACAAGCAGGGGAGGGGCAGAGAGAGAGAGAGAGAGGGAGACACGGAATGGGAAGCAGACTCCAGGCTCTGAGCTGTCAGCACAGAGCCCGATGCAGGGCTTGAACCCAAAAAAGATCATGACCTGAGCCCAAGTCAGGCTTAACCAACTGAGCCACCCAGTGACCCATCATCTCTTTAAATGTTCAGCATAACCATTTAACTAAATTAAGCCAGTCTCCTAATCTTTGTTTGGCTATTAGCACTGTTGAGAGCCATCAGCAATCAACAATCTATAAATTAAATTATTCTAAAAGTAAGCTTTTATGTGAAGACTGTCATGGTACATAGTCTTAAAATCATCAACAAAGAACTAACTCAGCAAATTCTTGGAAGCAAATATTTTGACAAGTTATTGACCCTAAAATTAAACCTACAAGAAATTACTGGCACAAAGCACAGCTAATTCTTTCAAAATCATTACAACATTGTTCATTAGAAATGTTTGCTTCCAATTTGTTTGCTTCTTTTTGTTTGTGTCAAAGTTTTTACCACCGTACTTTTTTAAGTCAAAACACAGTATGATTGAAATATAAGCTTAAATTCTTTTTTGAGCATACATAACTTCACAGTGAAGCTTAAAATAATATCCCATATGTATATATTCATTTCTATATAAATCATAAAAAATTCCCCTCACATTTTAAAACTATTTTCAATTTTTATTACAAAAGAAATAGGTTCACTGAAGAAAAGTCAGAAAATAGTTATGCAAAACTAAAACTGAAACCAAGTTTAATCAATCAGAAACAACCACTACTGTCAACACTTTTATGTGTATCTTCCAAGTCTTTTTCCTTTATATTAACATATAAATGTATTTAACATTTTACTTTTATTTGTAACAAAAACAGGATCTTTATAGTTGAAGCTTCATGGGAACAAGGCGCCATTCAGTTTGGCTTTTCACTGTATTCCCTAGTATTTAACACTTTACATTTGGCCCACTTTAGATGTTTAACATGTAGGTGTTGGGTAAATAAATGAATGTGATTTTATTTTTAAATAATATATGATTAACATTTTCCATGCTAATAAATATATTCATAAGCTATTATTGTGTATCATTCCTGGTTCATGGGAAATGTTCAATAAATATTTACTAATTATCATTTTATTAATTCTGAGATGTATTTTTTTATACTTTAACTTCTCTCATATAGGATGCTTTTTTAAATTTGTTTTTAATACTTCTTTTGAGAGAAAGGAAGAGAGAGAGTGGGGAAGGGGCAGAGAGAGATGGAGACAGAGGATCCTAAGTGGGCTCTGTGCTGACAGCAGAGAGCCCGATGCAGGGCTCAAACTGTGAGATCATGACCTGAGCCAAAATCGGAACTTAACCGACTGAGCCACCATCAATGACTTCTTAAACTATATTTATTAGCATGTTTTCCTTAGTGGTTCATAAAATAACGATGCACCTTACAATTGGTATTATTTTAGATTCAATGAAATACATTGTGTAAACAACATGCAGACTCTGCTTTAACCATTTTCCTACCTTTAGAAATGTCTGTTTCCAATTAGTTTGTTTCCTTTAGTTTCAGAATTTTCTACCCTTACAGCTAAATCTTTAAGCACATGTATGATTATTTCTTTATAATAAATTCCTAAAAGTGGTATTGCCGCACCACAAAATATGCACAATTTTAAAGCTTTTGATACATAATACCAAACTATTCTCCAATTGTATACCAATTTACATCCCAACCAATAGACAACAGTACTCTCATCTATACTTGCTATTACTATGTAAATCGAACCAACTAAAACACCAATAGAAGAGTGAGGCACCTGGGCGGCTCAGTCAGTTGAGCATCCAACTTCGGCTCAGGTCATGATCTCATGAGTTCATGAGTTCAAGCCTCACATCGGGCTCACTGCTGTTGGCGCAAAGCCTGCTTTAGATCCCTCTCTCTGCCCTTCCCCCACTTTTGCACTCTCAAAAATAAATAAAACCTCCTGGGGCGCCTGGGTAGTTGAGTCAATTAAGTGTATGACTTTCAGCTCAGGTCATGATCCGAGTTGGATCAGAGTTGAAGCCCCACATGAGGCTCTCTGCTGTCAGCATGGAACCTGTTTCGGATCCCCCAACCCCACCTCTCTTTGCCCCTCCCCCACTTGTGTGTGCATGTGCACTCTCTCTCTCTCTCAAAAATAAACATTTAAAAGATAAGTAAATAAAACATTTTAAAAAAAATTTTTAATGTTTTCTTTATTTTTGAGACAGAGAGACAGAGCATGAGTGGGAGAGGAGCAGAGGGTGAGGGAAGCACAGAATCCAAAGCAGGCTCCAGGCTCTGAGCTGTTGGCACAGAGCCCAAGGTGGGGCACAAATCCACAAACTGACAGATCACGACCTGAGCCAAAGTTGGTCACTTAACCAACTGAGCCACCCAGGCACCTCCATAAATAAAACATTTTTTTTGAAGTTTTTTATGGTTACTTTAGTTTACTTTTGTCAATATCAGTAAAAATGAATATTTTTATATGTTTACTGTCAATTACAATTCTTTGTGAAGTGCCTATTTATGATTTTTTTAATGTGATATTATTCTCTAAAATAAAGAATGCAGGAAGAGTTGAAGGATTATGGAAAAATAAAGAATTCACTAATTTAATTTTTCCTGAATTAATATATTGCCCAAGTTGTGGATGACTTTCCTGAACATAGTCTTTTTTTTTTTAAACCTATTTATTAACGTAAATTATACCTCAGAAGCAGAAGGTTGTCTCGATAAAATGATGGGTTCTTCATATATTTTTCTATAAGATGACAAAGAGCCTAATATTCCTGGATTTACAAAATCAATTAATGCAAAAAATTCTTGAAGATCATTCTGAACTGGAGTACCTAAGAGAAACAAAAGTGATGAAAGGTCAAGTTTGTGTTTTACAGTCACAGGTTATTTGTAGAAATTTGTACTCTCTTCCCTAACAAACCTAAACTAAAGGCTTTAGAGACGAGAAAGAGCAGCCAACTCCAAGTGAACAAAAAATATTAAGAACCATATAAATTTTTAACTCTGGATTTAACTTCAGCATAGTGGCTGTGTCCAGGCTCTGCAGTCTGACTCGCCTGGGATCAAATCCCATCTGCATCATTTACTCTCTGAGGGACCCTAAGCAAGTTACATACCTCAGTTTACTTCTAGAAAATGGGGATAATTATAGCAGCTCCTAGGATTGTCAGGATCAAATTAGTTAATCCATATACTAAGAACAGTGCCTAAAGCACAATAAATGTTCCAAAACTGTTAGTGATTCTTAATATTATAACAGTGTGACTCTGGACAAGATTCTTGAGCTCTTTAAGTTAAATTCAGCATTTTTTCACTTATAAAACTGGGAAGTTAACAATTTCCCAGTGGTATTACAACAAAAAGTAGAGACACTGTATGCACGTTGTAGCACAGTGCCTGACATTTAGTAAATACTCAGTGAATGACACCTATAATTATTACCTTTCAAAGTTTTCAGATCAAATTGAGATCTTCACTAATCTTAAAGGTTAACACAAATATACCCTGCATAAATTACATACTCAAAAACTTTTGGCTAACTAATTTTCAAAGAAACATTAGCATGTTTCAATAATTATATCAAAAAAACATGTAGGGGTGCCTGGGTGTAGCTCAGTCGGTTAGGCATCCGACTTCAGCTCAGATCATGATCTCATGGTTCATGAGTTCGAGACTTGCATCGGGCTCTGCACTGACAGCTCAGAGCCTGGAGACTGCTTTCAGATTGTGTCTCCCTCTCTCGGCCCCTTCCCCACCCATGCTCGCGTGCGCGATCTCTCTCTCACTCTCTCTCTCAAAAAACAAACAAAAAAAACCCCCATGTAAATCAGCAAAGTCCTACAGTATAATTTCGGATGACATTCAAATAACAAGACTAGAAAAGGTTGTCCAAAAATATATGTAAGAGGCATATAAAAATGCACTTATTCATTAACATAGATAACATGAATTTTACAATGCCAGGGAATTTAATGATCATACCCCTCAAAATTAAACGGGTCAACCCGAAGGATCAACGCTTATTAATTATATAACACATCTACCTAGTTCTAAACTTTGAGATACATAATAGAATATGATATTTATGTTGGTATGCATTTTGTTAAGCCTTTAAATAAATATCCATGACAATAACTAAAAAAGGCAGAATCAAGGGCACCTGGCTGGCTCAGTCAGTAGAGCATTTAACTCTTGATCTCGGGGTCATGAGTTTGAGCCCCATGTTGGGGGCAGAGCTTACTTAATCAAAAACAATTTTTTTTTAAGATAGGCAGAATGAGAAAAGCAAGTAAGTAAGAAGGGAAACAAAGGTATAAGGATCCTTGTGGTTGACTTCCAGACATCCAACCCTGGCTAACTAATCCAAGCCATTCATGATAGTCAGATCCCATTTGCCAATGATAGCTGCAGGAAAGGATTTGTCTTTTCACTGGGTTCTCGAGGAGCAGAGCCCAAGACAGGGATTTGGCTGTACAACATGTATGGAGGGAGTGCTCTGAGGAGAAAGAGAATAATAGAATCAGAGAATAGGAGGGGAAGAAACTAAGCAAGGATGGCCTCCTAGCTTGAGATAAATTATAGCAATCCTTAGAGCATAAATTGTGCTATAAAGCCGGTCCTGAAATTACCCTAAGGCAAGGGCTCTGGCATTTTTCACTTACCTCTATGAGTCAATCATTGACCAAGATGCAGAGGAGAGTGGAGGCTCTCATTCAAACAAGGATAATTCTCCAGAAATTGGAAGGGCCACACAAGGCCAAAGTAAGGTGTGGGAGGAAAGCTACATTGAGCTATTCAGGCCTGATTCTAGTCTAGGCTAAAAAGGAATGAGTAGAAAAAGATTCCTGTATTTACATATGGGCCACCCCCCTTTCCAGACAGTCTGGGCCAGCAAGTTTGGCCAGCAATAAATTATGCATGCAGCATATACATATATAAACAATGGATAGTTAGGCATTAGGCATTTACCATGTGTCAGGTAGTCTTTAAATAACTTTACATGAATTAACTCCTTTGACCTTTACAATAACTCTACAAAGTAGATGGTATTATTATTCCTTATTTCACAGATAAGGAAACTGAGGCACAGAGAAGTTAAATAACTTGCCCAAAGTTGCACAGCTATAAATAGCAGACTTAGGAACCATGAAGAGACAATGCAGACCTATCTCCTACATTCTTTATCATGATAGCATTGTTTATTCTTCAAAAACTCCAAAATCTAAGTGGCGGAAAATTACATAGGGATTTGAAAATTCAGAATCCTACCAAGACTTAATTACCATAGGTTTATTAGTATGAATTCCATCCAGCACCACCAATTCTTTGGATGCCAAGCATATTACAAATCCTTTATGATAAGTAGGCAAAAATTCCATCAAGTCTTCCCCAAAGTAAATACTGACCAGTTAGAATTATTCTTTTCTCACAAGAAAGGCTAATGAGGGCTGTAGTTGTCTTAATGGCACTATTCTTCAAACGATGCCCTTCATCACAGATTAGAAGATCAAACTTAACATTCTTAATTTGATCCAAGGAACGAAGTAACATTTCATAACTGATGATAAGAACAGAATAAAATGGAGATTTGATGAATTCTTCTACTTTGTGGTCCTAAAAAAAAAAAAAAAAAAAAAAAAAAGACAGTATTTAACAAATCATGGGCTAAAACTGTAAAATCAAATTCAAGCAGCATATTCCTAACAGACATTAATTAGAATATGTGCACTCAAAACCAAATTGTAAGCCAAGATTCCATTTTTCTGCAAAGGAGTTGCAGAGTTACAATACACTTGAAAAACTACCATATAGACAGTGAAAACTTCAGTGCTGATTTGAAAAGCACAGAGATATAATGGGGCACCTGGGTGGCTCAGCTGGTTAAGCATCCGACTTAAGCTCAGGTCATGATCTCACAGTTAGTGGGTTCAAGCCCCAGGTTAGGATCTGTGCTGACAGCTCAGAGCCTAGAGCCTGCTTGGGATTCTGTGTTCCCTCTTTGTGCTCCTCACCAGCTCACACTGTCTCTTTCTCCCAAAGGTAAATAAACGTTTAAAAAAAAAAATTAAGGGGGTGCCTGGGTGGTTCAGTGAGTTAAGCGTCTGACTTTGGCTCAGGTCATAATCTCATGGTCCGTGAGTTTGAGCCCTGCATCAGGCTCTGTGCTGACAGCTCAGAGCCTGGAGCCTGCTTCAGATTCTGTGTCTCCCTCTCTCTCTGCCCCTCGCCCACTCACACTGTCTCTCTCTCTCTCTCAAAAATAAATAAATATTTTTAGAAATTTTTAAAACAAAAGAAGAAAAAAAAAAAAGCACAGAGATTTAGAAAATGACCAAGGCTAAACTGTGTTGAAAATCTCTTACCTGATCAACAGGAAATATCTTGATCCTTTCACTTCCTAGCCATTTTTGAAATTCTTTCCTCCAATTATTCACCAAGCTCCCAGGTGTGACAATAAGTGTCTTCTTTATTACTGGCTTGCCTCCATAGGGTCCCTGACACTGTAGAGTCCAGATGAGTGAAATACATTGCAATGTTTTCCCTAAACCCATTTCATCAGCAAGAATAGCTCCACATCTGCCATTCACTCTGTTAGAAATAATTATACTTCTTTTAGTCACAATAGTTAAATATTTTATGCCCCTAATACTGTCACTTATTAGTCAAAAAATCAGAAACTGATAGTTTTGTAATTAGGACAAACTCTACCCCCTTCTAAATCCTTTTTCTAGGATTTCATGCATCTGATTTACAACATATCTTTTGCATCTTTGATAATTTGTAATTTTTTTCATGACATATTTACTATCAACTAAATTACTAAAACAAATCTGAAATTCGACAGTTGAATCTAAATCATGTGATATTATCATATATATTTAGAGAAACTAGAAATGAATCCCAATTTTATATACACATTTGAATAACTATAACTGTGCTTCTTATCACTAACAGTTGAGCAATTTTTATTAGTTTCAGCATCAGTTATCAAAACAGTTTAAAATATATTATAATCTTAGCCAGAAAGATCAATTGAGCTGTATTTATGATTTTCAAGCAGTAAATGAACTCCTCAATCATATAGCTCCCTGCACTATAAGAAAAAACACTAAATATTGATCTAATACATGTAACTTAGTAATAGACTTATCCTACAGACCTACTCAGTTAATACAAATTAAAATTAAATATAATAAAGAATATAAAGTGGCATGTTTATATCACTTCATAGCTTTTAAAGCTCTTCATGTATATACATATACATATATACATATATATGTATATACATGTTATAAAATCAAAAGAATTAAGGATAGTACCAAAGTAAGTATGGTTTTGTCTCTGACTTATTTCACTTAGCATAACACTCTAGTTCCAACCATGTCATTGCAAATGGCAAGATTTCATTTTTTTATGGCTAATATTCCATTGTATGTGTGTGTGTGTGTGTATATATATATATATATATATACACACACACACACACACACACACACATACACACACATACATCTTCTTTATCCATTCACAGTCAATGGACTCTTTCCATAATTTGGCTATTGTAGATAATGCTGCTATAAGCATTGGGGTGCATATATCCCTTTGAATTAGTATTTTTGTATTCTTTGGGTAAATAGCTAGTAATGCAATTGCTAGATCATAGGGTAGATCGATTTTTAGCTTTTTGAGGAATCTCCATACTGTTTGCCAGAGTGCCTGCACGAGTTTGCATTCCCACCAACAGTGTAAGAGGGTTCTCCTATCTGGGGTGCCTGGGTGGCTCAGTTGGTTAAACATCTGACTTCAGCTCAGGTCATGATCTCATGCTTTGTGGGTTCAAGCCTAACATCAGGCTCTGTGCTGACAGCTTGGAGCCTGGAGCCTACTTTAGATTCTGTGTCTCCCTCTCTCTGCCTCTTCCCCTTTCGCACTGTTCCTCTCCCTCTCTCTCTCTCAAAAATAAACATTAAAAAACTTTTTAGAAAAAGAGGGTTCTCCTTCCTCTGTATCCTCACCGACATCTATTTTGTGTTGTTGATTTTAGCCATTCTGACATGTATGAGGTAATATCTCATTGTAGTTTTGATTTGTATTTCCCTGATGATGAGTGATATTGATTTAACTCATATGTGGAATTTAAGAAACAAAACAAACGAGAAGAGGGGAAAAAAGAGAGAGAGGGACAAACCAAGAAACAGATTTAACTCCAGAGAATAAACTGATGGTCAACAGAGGGAAGGAAGGCGGGGATGGGTGAAATAGGTGATGGGGATTAAAGAGTATACTTGTGATGAGCAATGAGCGTTGTATGTAATTGTTGAATCACTAAATTGTACACCTGAAACTAATATTACACTGTATGCTAACTGGAATTTAAAATGTTTAAAAAGTGGAGTTTTATTATAGTTTAAATTGTTTTATTTATTTTGAGAGAGAGGGAAAGAGTGTGTAGACGCACATGCACGTGAACAGGGAAGGAGCAAAGAGAGAGGGAGAGAGTGCTCAATCTCACAAACCATGAGATCATGACCTGAGCCAAAATCAAGAGTCAGATATTAACCAACTGGGCCACCCAGAGGCCCCCAGTTTGATTACAGTTTAATTCATTCTATTTCTTATTAGTAAAAATAATAACCAAAATTTAACTATATGTTTTCCATTTCAAAGTACAGAAAAAAGTCACAAACATGAATTACAGTCATTATCATTTTATTTTTTTAAGATTTGTTTTGGGGGTGCCTGGGTGGCTAGGTCAGTTAAGCGTCCGACTTTGGCTCAGATCATGATCTCACGGTTCGAGGGTTCGAGTCCCATGTCGGGCTCTGTGCTGGCAGCTCAGAGCCTGGAGCCTGCTTTCCATTCTGTGTCTCCCTCTCTCTCTGCCCTCTCCCGCACTCACACTCTGTCTCTGTCTCAAAAATAAATAAATATTTTTTTTTAATTAAAGATTTTTAAAAATTTTAATTGTAATTAAAAATCTTTATTTTTTTTAAAATAATCTCTACACCCAATATGGAGCTCAAACTCACAACCCCGACATCAAGTTGCATGCTTTACCGACTGAGCCAGCCAGCCAGGCACTCCCATTATTACCATTTTAGATCAACAACTTGCCAATGCAAAACCAAATGCCAGCTGAGATACAGAGTGGCAGAGATAAAATAGTGATCCATCCTTCCACAGTGGAGGGAAGAGAACAGGAAGGCTTCACTGGGAAGATGGACCTTGTCAAACAAAGGTAAATAAGATTTCACTATATGAATCAAGTAGTTCAACACAGTGGGAGCTTGAACTGAATTCCAAACAAGGAAATACAAAGGCTATGAACCTGGCAAGATAGCCAGAGACTAAAGATGAGCATACATAGCCTTGAAAACTCAGACTGTATCTTGCAGGTCAATGTCTCCCAAACATCAATCTTTCGTGACTACCATCACAATTTTTGCCATATATGTGATACTATATGTTATTATTTATTTTTCCTTAAGTCAACTCCCTTTTGTACTTAGATTTATTTGAAAAGTCCAGGCATGATTAACGAAACCAAAAATTTTAAATGCTGTTTTTTCTAATAATTCATTAACTAAATATACTACTATCAGAATTAAAAAACAAGGCTTGTCTGTGTCCACCTAAAATAATCCCACAAATCATGAGCAGAGTGCATGTTACAGATCAGGTAACACTCCTGTAAGTTCTGAGAGTCTGAAGCATGTTAAGCAAGGGAATGCCATTTTCAGAACGGTTTTTCAGAAAAATCAAGCTGGTGGCAATAAGGGTGAATTTGAGGAGCATCAGAAACAGCTACACAGCTAGATGCCACTGCAAAAATCCAAACAAAACATAATCGTATAATGTCAGTTACTAGCACTGCTGCAGTGTGGTGCCAGAAAAGATTTGGAATCAAAGGATATTTAGGAGTTCAAAATTAAAATTTGAGGTTTGATTAAATTGAGAAAGTGAGAGAGATGAAATTAAAGTTGCTTTCCAGGCCAAATGAGATATGGTCTCCAAAGAAAAGAGCAGATTTGAGAAAGAACAGGAGTCTAGAAAGTTTCTGGGATATAGCATTCCTGTCATCATGCAAAGGGTTCTTAAGAGTGTGAGGGAATTGGGGCACCTGGGTGGCTCAGTCAGTTGAGTGTCCGACTTCGGCTCAGGTCATGACCTCACAGTTTGTGAGTTCGAGCCCCCCATCAGGCCCCGTGCTGACAGCTCAGAGCCTGGAGCCTGCTTCCGATTCTGTGTCTGCCCCTCCTCTGCTCATGCTTTGTCTCTCTCTCTCTCAAAAATAAATAAACATTAAAAAAAATTTTTTTTAATAAAAATTTAAAAACTTAAAAAAAAAGAGTGTGAGGGAATTTACATTCCCAACTCCCTATTAAATGATCAATTTAAAAATCAAGGGCCTATGCATTAAAAGCAAAACAAAAAGGAAATATATATAGAAAGAAATATAACAAGATGTTAGCAGGTTCCTTTGATTCTTTTTTACTTCCTTTATCAAGCTTTTGTGTGCATGTGTCCTCTAAAATATCTTTAAGAAAGGATGCTACAGGGGCGCCTGGGTGGCTCAGTCGGTTAAGTGTCCGACTTCAGCTCAGGTCACGATCTCGCGGTCCGCGAGTTCGAGCCCCGCGTCGGGCTCTGGGCTGATGGCTCGGAGCCTGGAGCCTGGAGCCTGCTTCCGATTCTGTGCCTCCCTCTCTCTGCCCCTCCCCCGTTCATGCTCTGTCTCTCTCTGTCTCAAAAATAAATAAACGTTAAAAAAAAAAAAAAGAAAGAAAGAAAGGATGCTACAGTTCTTTACCAGAAAACTCCATTTAAAAGGGAATGAGGGAGATTCCTTTTTTGGGGATGGTACCTGGGTGACTCAGATGACTAAAAATCCAGTTCTTCTTTTTTTTTTTTTAGAATACAATCTTTGATGTCTGCTCAGGTCATGATCTTACAGTTCATGAAATCAAGCCCTGAATCTGCATAGGGCTGTGCACTGACAGCACCAAGCCTGCTTGGGATTTTCTCTCTCCCTCTCTCTCTCTGCCCCTTCCCTGCTTACACTCCCTCTCTCAAAATAAATAAATAAATAAATATTTAAAAGGGAGTGGGGAAGACTCCTTTTTTTTTTAAGTAGAAGTGAGATAAGAAGAAAATCTTTTTTCAAAAGTCTCATAAGCAGAATTAACAGCTACTTCAATTTTGCCCTCATAAGCCTTTCTCATACTAGTGAGCTCTTATTGTACCACATTAAGGTTGACTATATTCACCTATTTCTTCAAATACCTTAAAAACTACTTAAGGATAGGACCCATGGTCCTGACTCCTGTATGCCCAGCTCCTAGCAAGATATCTGGCACATGGGATTCCATCAAGAACCACTTTTGGAATAAATGCACACATTAAGCATAATTCATGATATACTGAGACTCTTTTTATCAGACTTTTTCTAGAAAACCATTATGTTACAGGTTAAATCAAAAGTCGGAATAAACAAATTATTTTCCTACCTCATTCCCATTACACATTCATATAGGAATAGGATCCCTTCTTTTTGATGTGGTCGAAGATGATATACAAGGTAAGGATCTATCACTACATCCACAATAGGAGAACAGTTCTTATTGAACATCCACTGGTGATTATTGTCTGGTCGCGACATTACAAGAGAATCTTAAGAAAAAGATGATAGTTTACCTATTAATGTATTGCAATTTCACTTTGTCAGCAACTATATTATCTTGCTTTAATTACTCATAACTTAGAACTGTTTGCCATCCTTTGTGGCAAAAAAGTTGAAGTTTAGTAACAGTGATACTAAGCAAGAGTGGAAAATTAAAAAATAAAACCTCATGCCTTATCAATGTAAGATTTCAGGCAGAGAATTTCAAAGGGCTTTCCAAACTTCATATGCCCCAAAGTACTTCAAAACCACTGAAATTGGGGCACCTGGGTGGCTCAGCAGGTTATGTGCCTAACTCTTAATCTCAGCTCAGGTCATGATCTCATGGTTTATGAACTCCAGCCTGGCCATTGGGCTCTATGCTAACAGTTCAGAGCATACTTGGGATTCTCGCTCTCTCTTTCTCTGCCTCTCCCCTGCTTGCACTCATTCATATATACTCTCTCTCTCTCTCTTTCTCACTCTCTCAAAGAGAGACAGAGAGCAGAGCATGAGCATGGAAGGGGCAGAGACAGGGGGAGACACAAAATCCAAAGCAGGATCCAGGTTCCAAGCTGTCAGAACAGAGCCCAGCGTGGGGCTCGAACCCACAAACCATGAGATCATGACTTGAGCCAAAGTCAGATGTCTAACCAACTTAGCCACCCAGGGACCCCACAAACTAAATAAACTTAAAAAAAAAAAAAAAAACACTAAAATTCACTACTGTTTAACAGAGTATTCAGTAAGCCACACATTTAATAGCTCAGTATTCAGAGCAAAGAGAACGATTTCCAACTAAAAGCACAGGTTGGAATTTTGCCCAGTTGCACTTGCGAATGATCACAGCTTCTTATTTTGGAAAGGCACCCCAAATTTAACATAAAGGCTCCCATTATTTTCACTTCTGTACACACTAACAATGACTATTACTTCTTCTATTAACCAGAAGAACTGAGAAAGGATGACAAATTTTCCATTGACTTCACCATCATTATTTGCTTCAAGTTAATTACTACGTTCATGAATGTCAAATTCATTTATCTTTGCAAAGCAGCAAATAGAAGCAACCATTGAATAATAATGTAATTCTTTAGATATATGCTAATACAGTTCAAGATTTATTAAAATATCACCAAAAAATACAAACTCAAATATAACTAGAAAGCAGGTCTCAATTAATCTAGTCAGGTAATAAATTCATCAAAATTATTTTGGGGATATATTTATATGTCTGCATCATGGTTAAAAAATGAAATAGATTTTGGGGCGCCTGGATGGCTCAGTCGGTTGGGCGTCCAGCTTCGGCTCAGGTCATGATCTCACCATCCGTGAGTTCAAGCCCCGCATCAGGCTCTGTGCTGACAGCTCAGAGCTTGGAGCCTGCCTCGGGTTCTGTGTCTCCCTCTCTCTCTGGCCCTCCCCTGTTCATGCTCCAACTCTCTCTGTCTCAAAAATAAATAAACATTAAAAAAAAAATGAAATAGATTTTTTAAATAAACAAAAAGAAAAAAGAGAACAGAAAGAAAGGGAGATAAAGAAAATAGGTTCTAGTAGATTAAAACAATACCCAGCAATGCAGAAATATGCAGTCACAGGAATGAGAGTCTGGTCATGTCTACCATTAGTGATTACCCAGAGGAAAGTTTTCTGTGGATCTTCCTAGATTTCTGAGCAACTAAAAGGAACTCCCATTTCTGAGGTCAATTCCTGGCAGGCAGAGGATTAGGATGTGAAAATGGAAAACTTAGCTCTTGGCTTTCCTCTATATTCCAGTAGCAGAGCAAGAGTATACTCCTTGTGGATTTCTAATCAAGAAATGGCCCCATTTTTTCTCTTGTGAAAAGCACAAAGGGGAAAAAAAGAGAAAAGGTGAGGATAATACAAAGGGGAAAAAAGAAAAGATAAGAGGAGAGGATAATACACTCAAGCAAGAAGGACCATAGGATCTAAGTCAACTAACAAAGCATCCATCTTCAGGAAAGATAAAACCTAAACCACCACAATAACAGGACACCAGCTCAAATTTTAAGATGCCTCTCTCTACCTTCACAATAATGAGGCACCACTTAATGCTAACAAAATCTTTCATGCTTTCATTTTAAGTCTACAACCTAGTTCTACCCTTGGCAAGATAAATAAATGAGAATCATTAACACAAAGGGCTTTTATTATATTATACACACACACACATACATACATACATGTACATATATATATGTTATCACAATAAAATTTTTCATTCAGTCAACAAATATTTATTGTACATGGTATATAGCAGACACTCTACGTCTTTATGGTAGTAATTAGAACCCACAATGTAGACTTGAGGAGACACAGCCATTTGTGAGACAAGTGACTGCCCCAAGAGGACAAAGAACCAGTTAGTTCAGTGGGAAAATGGGACTCTAACTCAGATCTTTAAATAAGCACATTATTCTTTTTGGTTCCCCACATCCCTCTATTATGTAATAGGAAGGCAGAGAGAAAGAATAAAAGAGAAGGAAGCCTATTGAAAGAGCTGGTGGGACAGATAAAATATTTGGATAAAAGAAAAAACAGAAGCAGAAGCTTCCACTTTCTTTCAATTAAGTCTCAGGTAAGCTCATATAGAGCTAGGAATTTTTAATTTGGGGTTTTATCCCAAATATGGCAATAGTTCTTTGAATTTAGGCAAGTCGGTTCATCTTTCTGGGCCTTACTGTCTTCAAATGCAAAGGGAAGAAACTGATCTCAACAGTCCCTTTATTTCAAAAATTCTATCTCTATAATACTTGCAAAAAATTATGTTGCTTTATGTACTTTTCATTTTACCACTACTATGAAAGCAACCTACTTGATACCCCAAATTTGACATCTACTATTGCTTTACAATCTAAATTTATTTGTCTGTCTTCTCAACAAATGAGAAGATCTCTGATGACAGTTTACACTGCAAAAAAAGGCACTGAAGAAATCCCTGTTAAGTAAACAATCAAAAAACAGGTGAGGTTTTATTCTTAATATTATTTTTAAATTAGACTCATTAATATTAAAATTAAATCATTAAATTTAATGATTATAAGTAAAATTTAAGTTATTTACATGACATCTCATCATTCAATATTTTAATACATTAATGGATGTGATCAAAACATACAGTTGTCAAAAGAGAAGTATAAACATAATCCTGACTCATGAATTGACTAATATTTCTTCTTGCTGAAATATCAGATATTATTCAAAATCATATACATGTATGATGTGTGTATACATCTCCAATTTGTATATTTTTCCTTCAACACAAGTATTCTCCACTACTGTATTCTTAGAATTAGGCATTTATTTATAAAATGATTCCCAAACTATATTGTTATATAGCTTCAACATTATTCCTTATGTCAGTTGTACACCTGAAGAATAATATATACTTTCACCTGAAAACTTTAAACAAAACTTAAAACTTTAAATTCACATGCCAATATCTTTTGACAGTTTTAAAACAGAATATTCAAATTATTTTTTACATCTTACTTTGTGCATGTGGGTCATGACGTGGTTTACAATCTTGGAAACCGTTTGGTCTATTTTCCTTTGAACTTGGTTTACAAACACTTTTGAAGGGGTTAGAGAAACACTTCTTGGCAGCCTGAGAAGAACTTGAGATAGCAAGGCTTCCTCCTCCAAGTTGAAAACATCTGCCACTGTTGAAATCATCTGGAGAGATTATACCCATGACTTCTACTTCTTTTCCACCAATCATCACTCTGTGGCCCTCTTCAATCTTTTCAAGCTCTTTGAATTTATATGCAAGGCCTTTAAATTGAGAAGGGAGTGTGTGAATTTAATTTACTGACCCTCTTAAGATGACATAATTAGTGATACCATAGTCACCTTCCCATAACTGTACAGAATGAAAACTGTACTTTGAATGCAAACAGCCTTGTATAACCAAGGAGCAGAATGAAAACATACTTTATCATTTTGGTTAAAAAAAACACAAAACACTAAAAAAATCAGAAGGAATAAATAATAAAGCTATAAAAATTAGCCAAGCTTTAGAGAAAGCAAGGCCTTTTTTAATTATTGAAAATATGGCTGGGGTACCTGGGTGACTCCGTTGGTTAAGTGTCCGACTTCGGCTCAGGTCATGATCTCACAGTTAGTGAGTTTGAGCCTCGCATCAGGCTCTGTGCTGACAGCTCAGAGCCTGGAGCCTACTTTGGATTCTCTGTCTCCATTTCTCTCTGTCCCTTCCCCGCCCACACTCTGTATTTCTGTCTCTCTCTCTCTCTCTCTCAAAAATAAAAAAAACGTTAAAAAAAAAAATCCAGGGGCGCCTGGGTGGCGCAGTTGGTTAAGCGTCCGACTTCAGCCAGGTCACGATCTCGCGGTCCGTGAGTTCGAGCCCCGCGTCGGGCTCTGGGCTGATGGCTCAGAGCCTGGAGCCTGTTTCCGATTCTGTGTCTCCCTCTCTCTCTGCCCCTCCCCCGTTCATGCTCTGTCTCTCTCTGTCCCAAAAATAAATAAATGTTGGAAAAAAAAAAAAATCTAAAGAAAATATAGCCAAGGGTGCCCTAGCTAGCTCAGCCAGTAGAGCATGAGACTCTTGATCTCAGGGTTGTAAGCTTGAGCCCCCCAATGAGTGTAGAGATTACTTAAAAAAATAAAATCTTAGGGGCACCTGTGTGGCTCAGTCAGTTAAGCTTCTGTCTTCGGCTCAGGTCATGATCTCACAGTTCGTGAGTTCAAGTCCAGCATTGGGCTCACTGCTGTCAGTGCAGTACCTGCTTTGGATCCTCTGTCCCCCTCTCTCTCTGCCCCTCCCCCACTCCTGCTCTCTCAAAAATAAACATTCTTAAAAAATAAAATAAAATCTTAAAAAAAAAAGAAAACGTAACTCACTGTACTCACAGTTTTGCCATCTGTTGTCTGTTGAAAATCAAGCCAAGAAGAGTTTTGTAGGCTATATGGGACCTTCCCTTCTTGTGAATAAACTAGAGAAATACCATGGCATCTCTATTTCCACTTAGAAACAAGTGGAAATGTGGAAAACTAGCAATAAAAGCAACTGCTGCCACAATCAGTACTTTACTGTTCCACATGAGATAGCAAAGTAAAAATGCATTTGTGGCAAAAGGTCATTGATAGTCTAAGTTCTAGCTCTTGAATTAAAAAGTGGGGTATTTTATAATATCAAGCTTCTCTGAAGTATTAATTCAACATTTATTAAGTGTTGCCATATGCAAGGTGCTAATGAAATATAAATATGAGTAAGTCAGTCACAGTCTGCTCAAAATGAGCTCATTAACCAGATACATAGAGTGGTGGAATCTTAGATTCCTGTGCTTGCCTACATTAAATGTACAGTTACTGGGCCATTAAAAGAGGCAAGAATTGCATACCATAAATGTTTTTAAGTCTCTAAAAATGAAATAAAAGATTGTCACATTTTAGAAAACATGATAGGACCCTTTTAAATTAGCTATAAAGTGCTACAATTCACCCTATTAAAACTGGGCTAAACCTTACAGTCTGGGCCAAACAGTAGCCAATATATCTTCTTAAATTATTTATGATAGAACAATTTTTAATTTTAATGCTCTGATATAGGAAGAAATTACTTAGCTGGTGTTCCTAAATGCAAAAGACCCATCCCTCCATTCCCCAAACTATCTCAATTCAACTGCAGTATTGACCACTCCACATCAATAAAGATTTTCATCTTCATATAGAATCCAATTACTATTCATCTGAGTTACATGTAAATGGGAGACGAGAATAAACTTAATTTTGAGGCATCTTTAGAAGTCTAACTCCAGAATCTCTCCTTTCACTTTGATCCACAGAGATGACTCTCTCAAACATCTCTGAATCTCCAGAAGACTTTCTTAAAAGTCTTGAGCTTTGTTTCCCACAACTCTTTTTTTTCTGGGTATCACGTAATGATGGTCAGATGAACTTAACCAAATTACCATGAGCTATTAGCAACTGCAGCACTCCAGTCTTTGGTTTTTTTCTTGAGGCTCTATCCCTACATTAACAATATATATATATATATTTTTTTTAATGTTTATTTATTTTTGAGAGAGAGAGAGAGAGAGAGACAGAGTATGAGCAGGGGAAGGGCAGAGAGAGAGGGAGACACAGAATCTAAAACAGGCTCCAGGCTCCGAGCTGTCAGCACAGAGCCCAACGCGGGGTTCGAACTCACAAACTGAGATCATGACCTGAGCTGACATTGGACACCTAACCGACTGAGCCAGCCAGGAACCCCCCTACATTAACAATATTTAAATGCTGTACATTCAATTCATTTAAAAGAAAAACTGCTTCCATTAGAGCCAATAACTTACAAAATTAACTCCAAGTTGATACACTTATTGTTATAATTAAGCAATAAAGCCTTATGTTTGGATGTTTTCATTTGGAAAGCCAATAAAATCCTCTTTATTGCTTAAAGCAGTGGTTAGATATTAGATATCACCAGAAACCAGAGTGCCTAGGTGGCTCGGTCCGTTAAGCATCCAACTTCGGCTCAGGTCATGATCTCACGGTTCATGAGTTCGAGCCCCGGTCGAACCTAGAAACCTAAAATATATTTATGCCAGTGCCTCTCTCCACCATCCAGGCCAAATAAATCACCATCCAGGCCAAATAAATCCTGCCAGGTCAGGACCTGGCACTGGTATTTTTAAAAAAACACCTTAGGGAAATACAAATCAAAACCACACTCAGGTATCACCTCACGCCAGTCAGAGTGGCCAAAATGAACAAAGCAGGAGACTATAGATGCTGGAGAGGATGTGGAGAAACGGGAACCCTCTTGCACTGTTGGTGGGAATGCAAATTGGTGCAGCCGCTCTGGAAAGCGGTGTGGAGGTTCCTCAGAAAATTAAAAATAGACCTACCCTATGACCCAGCAATAGCACTGCTAGGAATTTATCCAAGGGACACAGGAGTACTGATGCATAGGGGCACTTGTACCCCAATGTTCATAGCAGCACTCTCAACAATAGCCAAATTATGGAAAGAGCCTAAATATCCATCAACTGATGAATGGATAAAGAAACTGTGGTTTATATACACAGTGGAATACTACGTGGCAATGAGAAAAAATGAAATATGGCCTTTTGTAGCAACGTGGATGGAACTGGAGAGTGTGATGCTAAGTGAAATAAGCAATACAGAGAAAGACAGATACCATATGGTTTCACTCTTATGTGGATCCTGAGAAACTTAACAGGAACCCATGGGGGAGGGGAAGGAAAAAAAAAAAAAAAAAA